TGTACATTTAAATGCTGAAAATATGTCAGTATTGTATGTTTTAGTGCCTGTAAAAACTTAAGTAAATGTACATTTTATAGAACCACATTTTACGAAAAATACATACGAATTAGCATGAGATCACGCTGGGATTACGTAATCAGATTCCAAAAATGAAATAACTGTAATTATATTTTAAAATGTTCATAATCCGATCACAATTACTTTTTTTTTAATTAATAACATGATGCAATTCTTAATTCAGTTTCTCTATTTGTCAACAAGCGATGGAATAGATTGTCTTTCTCTTTGTGTTTTTATATCAATACGGTACAAAATAATCTTGTTTAAATCAGTGTGATAATGAGTCAGGTCAAAAGTAATCTAAAAGTAATCAAAACGTACTCAAGATTAGATTACATTGTAATGTGTAATCTAATAGGTTGACGATACTGTCATGTAATTTGTAATCACCAGCAGACCACAGTTTGTAAGTAGTCTACCAGCACTGTTTAATAGCATTCTGAAGAAGACATGAGGTAAGTCGGTCTTCTGAAAAGCAGGACAACATTTAAGGACAGCCATTTTGATGGAAAGGTTGCTCGACGTGTTCAGGTTTTCAGTAGTCAACCATTAGCAGATGTCACTTGACAAACTCCTGTCTGGAGAGGTCAAGAGTAAGGACTATGGCATTTGGGAGCAAAGAGTCTCTCATTTGGCTCGGGCAGATCGAGGAGAAGATCTGGTGAGAAATCTGTCAGCCACTTGAGGGGTTGCCCAAAGCGACTCTGTTGCGACTGACAGGAAGGAATATGAGAGCAGGCATTTGTGATGACTTGCCGCTTACGCCGTCAAACTAGTTTGTCACTTTGTCAGAGACTAAAAACAGCCAGCAAATTAGCCATGAGTAATAAGTAGTGTATTTCTAAACAACAAAGTCCTACAGACATCTGACAGAAGATCCACCATGTTGCAAGAAACAGTTGTTTTGTTCTTTTTTTTCTTTCTGTTCGCTTTTTGCAGATTCGCCTCAGGAGATGAACTCATTGGACGCCAATTTATCACCAATGGGATGGAAAACAGACTTCAAGGCTTGTTTTTTACACCACCGCACAGCCGCGTACAACAGTTCCTGCCAAAATATGCCTTGATTCTCATATGATCACAAAGTATGCACAGAACCAGTCGCAACATGGCATCGCGTGACTCAGCCTCTGAATGCAGTTATTGAGAGCGATGTGTTGGAAAGAAATAAAGTGTTTGATGACTTGATCCACCAAGCATCTCCAGACAGATATTTGATTGACAAGTGTTATAATTGAGGGAGTCAAATGTGGGCTACAGTTAGATGGGTCACTACACTCTGTATTGCTACAAGCAAACTAGCCTTATGTGGGATTGCTAATTCAGTCATGTGAAGCACTGGTATGCTGTTTCATGTTTTAGTAATTTAACTGAAATTATAACTAGCATAATCTGGACTCTTAAAAACAGACAGTTACACATAATGAATGTTTTATCAATTCTTGATTCATGTTAGACCAATATTAAGTAATGCATGTTTTAAATTTCCATTAATTTGACTCCATGTTCATTTAGGACTTCAGTAATTTTACAGCACCTTTAAAAATAATATATTTTATTAAAATCATTTATAATCAATATCAACATTAAAAATATATATTTTTTATTTACTTGCTTCCATGTCCTTTTGGTACTTTAGTCATTTTACAGAACAGTTAAAAAGCATTATATTCTATTATAATCATTTTAATATCTTTATGCAAAATGTATTTATAACTATTTATTTAATTGAAGATGCATACAGCAAAACATGCACATACTTGTTGACATATTTTCAGAACATTATATAGGTTTTTATTGAATTACTTAATTTTAAATAACTTTTAAAAAAAAGCATTATTATTTTTCTATATTATATTTTTGTATAATTGATCAGCATTAAAATAAAAAAATAAATAAAAAATACATATTTATATTTGTATTATTGTTATTTATTTGAAGATGCACAGCATAAATGTATTGTTGCCATATTTTGCTTTAGTTATACATTCATGTTATATAATCTGCACTTTAATATTGTAATATATATTGGGAAAAAATGTGAAATGCTAGTTTTTAAGGGCTATTTTGTTTGTTGATTGAAATATACAGACTTTAAATATGTATTCAGTCCTTGAATGTATATTTCAAAGGTCAAACTGAAGGAATTATCTTCAACTATACCTGGAATAGCTTTAGAAATGCTGTGCTTAATTGTATGCCTATTCATTTGTGTATTTGAGCAGAATGGATATAGACACTGTTTATATACACGTTTATTGCAGCACTCAAGGGTCCAGACATTGGTATGTTTAAACTGCAGGTCTGAAAGTACATTATGAGCTAGACTTTTTGTTGAAACAGACCTGCCACTACCAATAATTTCAAGCATGTTTCAGTTTAGATGTGTGCTATCAAAGATGCATTGATGTGCATTCGAGGTTACATGGATTTGTTGGCAACATACAACAGCAGCGATTCATCTATAGATCGTGAGGGCAGACATGCTGAGTTCATTACTCAAGATCTCCCCAGAGAAGGAGCGATTGCTATGCCTGTGTAGCGAATTACATAGAAAGCCCACTAGTAGCATCTGACTCTAACGGAGGCCGTTTAGTTTTCTCAGATATTTACATTCCGTCCTGTGCTTATACGGAGAACCGTTAAGTCACAGTCTCAGACAATTTGACATAAGATGAACGTCTTATATACACCATGTTTGAATGGCTCTGCTCTGAAATATAAAACAGTATAACTTGTAGGTAAGAAAATACATTTTAAAGCCCTTGAGAGTTCACAGGATTTGAAATGTGCAAAATGTTGAAAGGTTGTGAAAAAATCCACTTTCTTTCAATAGAGCAATATTGTCCCTTAGAATATCATCAACATAAATGACCTGTGTCGGTTCATTACATCCATTTTTGCGCATCCTCTGCTGAGTTCAGGATAAAAAAAAAATAAAAATAGGTATGTGCACTGAAGCGCAGAGGACTTGGCCTAAAACTGGTATTTAGAGGGCATAATAAAGAATAGATGGTAGATACCAAGCTCTTAGTGCCTTGCAAAGAAAAAACAAACAAAGAAAAACAACCTGCAGTCGAATCTATCAAGTGAAAGTGTCAGTATACAATACTCATTTCCAGCAATGTGAAAGAGTCTCTGCCTTTGTTTGTTTCCTTGCTAAAATATTCACACCATGATAATTTGCATTCTTGAAAATAAAGAAAACCATTCTTGAAAGTGAACACTGTTTTGCACTTTACTGGAAGTTGCAACGAGCGACTTGTCAAAAGTCATTGACCGCCCTTTTGCAACCATCCATTTTGTTTTAATGCTCTAAGCCTTTCCTGCCCAGGTGACTTCCTTTTCTCAAGGGAGGCCGGAAATTACTCAGGTTGATGTGAATGATTCTATCTGATGGTTAATGGAAAAATATTGGAAAGCCACTTAAGTCGAGGAGAAAGGGAAGATGAAAGTGTGGAGTGGATGAAAAGAAGCCTTCAGCATTCTAAGGAGCAATTGAATGTTGCACGCTGCTTGCGCGCTCAAAAAAGGTTATTTTCGAGAAACGAGGGTCTGACAGAATTGTGTTTGGCTATGGCAAGCTGTCAAGTTCACAAACTGACGTGAGTGACTTTTATGGGATGTTTGTGTGCGATTTACGGCTTCAGTGGTATTAAGAGATGTAATCATCTCAATGCTATCTTTGAAATGTCATACATTTTCACAACTGAACATGTTTTAAAACATGTTTTTTTATGTTTATTCTCAAAGAAGCTGCCGTTATTACTGTTAGTTCACAAACCAGAAAAGTATAAATCATAGACGGTTCTTGACTGGTTTTGTTAAAGTGTAACCCATATTTAATGCAGTCTTGATCTTATATTTGCTCTTGGTTTGAGAACATGCAAGCAGTCTCTCCATGTTGACATTTGTCTAATTTGACTAGCTTCTATCAAGTGACAGACCAGAATACTGTAGAGGTTGATTTGACATATCTTTTAAATGTTAAACTCTTTGGCTATCCTCCTAATTTTGTATGATTGAATTGCTTCATTTTATTACTTTCATTTAACATAGTTTTTCCCTGCTGTGTGAGATGCTATCAACTCTTTTTTCACAATGTCACCCACCAGTTGAAAACCACTGAAATAATATGATTCTTCTATTTTTGTCCATTTCTTTCCTCCTTACTTCATTTATTTATTTACTCGTGCTATTCGTGTTGCTTGCCATATTATTGCAATACACTCTATTAATTTATTTATTTTTATTTACAGCTTAATTGGTACCACATTAAAGGCACACAAACATATATAAATGTTAAATTATGTACAAATATACAGAATAAATAACTATCATCCACACTTGTACAAAATAAAGCTATGGTGCTCTTCCATACAGTAAAACATTTCAAGGCTTAACACAATAATGTGTGTGCATATTTTCTCTATACATATATAGATATATATTTTCTTTTCTTCTCCAGCCAGATAATGAAGACAAAACACCCTGCATAATTGTCATGCTGAAAGAAAATAGTCGGATATGATTTGTGTTTTCAAAAGGAACTTTAAACAACACTATTATACAAACCAGATGCTACACTACTTGGTTTTCCTATGGGGAAATGGCATAGACTGTGTGGATTAACAATGTGATTGTCATCAACCACCTTTAAATGGTATTTTAAGTAGTGCAATTCTTTTCTTTTCATTTTCTCCAAGGGTGCCCAGCAGAGTTTTTGTCCATATCAGAAGCAGTGGAGGTAATGAGCAAGTGGGTCTGTGTGACATGATTTCTGAACAAACTCTCCAGGCGTGTTGAGAATTCCAGGTGAGAGGCCAATTTCAGGCACGATAAATGAGCCCACTCATAAAGTCTGACCTCAGGGTCAAAACAATAGCCGTTTGGCAAGCTACTCGCTCTTGATGACGCCTTATTTATTAATAAATGCAATTTTCAGACATCTTGCAATCCACATACAACCATTATTTAATATTTAATGAACAAAAACTGTGTTGGGAATGTTTAATTCAAAACTTAGCAAATCAGGGAATCATTTAACTAACCATAAATGTTCTGTATGACAGAAAATAACACAATTTCTTCCATTGCTACAGATAAACAGTGATTGAAGATCTGTCACGTACATAATAAGAGATACAGATAGAAAGGTGAAGTTACTCTATGCTAGTCTTCCCTACCAAACATAAAGAGAATGCATTAACCTCAATGCACAACAAATGTTCTGGTATCAAAGCCAATCTTGTCCAAAGACAACTGTTTGTGGCTCTTTCAGTGTGGCTGGAATTTTGTTAGAATGCATAATCCATCATCTGCAATGCTAACGTCAAAGGTCCACATGAAATTAGACATTGTGTCCACATCAAATGATCGTATCGTGAGAATTGCCTCTACTCTGACGTTGTTTTATTATATCTCTCGAGCTAAATCAGAACTCAGAATGAACTGTCAAGGCACTTGGAGTATCATTTGTCAAATCAAAGTATACAGTGTACTTATCTCAGTTGAAAGTCGTTTGGTGCTCTAAGACTTCTAAATAGTCTGGTTCTGCATGTAAGTTGGCTTTGAGTTCAAAGTACTCGTTTTTAGTCTGTTCCACCATGACCTTCCGTGGCCTTGTATAAACAAGAGTCTCCATTAGTTTAAGCTCCTTGTGGTGGTTGGGGACTTGCATGTCCACCGCTGGTTGTAACTGTGATATGTTTTTCCTGAGATATTCGCTGAGGCTGAGTTGTTGGAGCTCCCGTTCCCTTTCTAAGATGTTCTTGTACAAGGAGCTGGCATCTCCTAAACTCACAAACTCAGCAGGGTAGTCGGTGACGGCCCTGAACTTCACGTTGGGTCCCGTAAGGAGGGAGTCGCTCTCCTTGTCGAGGATGCTATGGCAGAAATGCTTAGGTTTCTCACTGTCATACTCGTCCAACTCATATTGTTTGTGCTGAGAGCAGTAACTAGGGTTTCTGCAGACCTGAACAATGGGGCTACGGGAAGGTTCGTCATACATGCCGGGTCCTTGCCTTTCAGTTACGTGGTGGGTGGTCTTCTGGCCGTACATGCTGTAGTGCAGGTGGATGGGACTGCTCTCGCGAGGTTGCTCCTCGGCTTGTTTCTTCTTGGCCTGTCTCCGCCGACGGTGTAGCACAAACACAATGATCCCTGCAGCGCAGAAAACGAAGGTCAGAAACAGGATGAGAAGGCAGAGGATGAGCACCGATAGTGGCACTGCTTCTGTCAGAGACCGGAAGAAGCCGCTGGTGCTGACCCCTGGCGCAGGCGTGGCTACAATAGCATCCTTGGTGTCTCCAGGTAAGGACTTATAGGTGACCAAGCCAGGACAGAGAACATCATGCTTCAGGTTTCTAACCTCAGCAGTAGACAGTTTTTGAGGAGTGTGGCATAAGATGGTACCCATCACGGTGTCCTTGCTTAGCTTTTCCACCCACTGTTTGAGGCTGACCAAATCACAAGTGCAGTCCCAAGGATTGTCCTCAAGATAAATTTGCTCCAAATAATTGAGCTGTTCCAACACATTACTCACCGGTAAGTGCATAAAGACATTTTTCCTTAGGTTCAATCTCACCAAGGGCACATTACGAAATATCTGCGCAGGGAGAGTGTTGAGTAGATTGTTGTTTAGGAACAGGAGCTTTAGATTTGTCAAAGGGTTGAATGATCCGGCCTCAATGTCTTTGATGACATTATGCTCCAAGTACAAGTATTCCAAATTGTGAAGGCCAAGAAACATTGTTGATGAGATTTTCTCTATCCTGTTTCCATTCAGGTACAGCTTTTTCAAATTGCTCAAACTCAGAAAGGTTTCATTGTCAATGTAGTCTATTTGGTTGTTTGCCAAATTGAGCAGTTCCAGACTGTCGTACGTCACAAAGTCGTACTTGAAAAGTCGCTGTATCATATTTCCTGTCAAAAACAGCTTGGTTGGGCTTTGTTCAAGAATGCCTATATCAGATATCCTTTGAATGCCTCGGTCCTCACAGTGCATTAAGAAACCCATGCTTTGGGGAGGACAAGAGCACATTGGCACGCAAAATGTCCCTAGGCCGTTTGCAGGTGTGGGTACTTTTGTGCCATCGTTGACATTCGGTATCTGAGCAACCTTGGTGGATGGGGTGACAACCATGTCTAAAGACTTTGATGGCTCTTCGAGATTGATGTCGGCATGGGAGGGGCAAAGTAAATCCCTTTTGACCCTGGCCAAAGAAATGCCTCTAAGATCCTCAGGCCTGTTGCAAACCACCTCGCCGATAGACGACTGCGCCCGCATGTTCTCGATCCAGACCTTCAAATGCAAGATTTCACAATTGCACATCCAGTCGTTGTCCTCCAACAGGAGCTCCATGATACGACCAATATGCTCCAGGAAACCCACGTACGGCAGTGTCTGCAGCTTGTTCCCACGCAAATCCAAATGTGTCAGAGGCACAAAGCGGAAAATGTTGCTTGGAAGGAACTCGATGGAGTTGTCATTGAGGATCAGAACTTTAAGACGGACAAGCTTGCTGAAGGCCCCAGGCTCCACGACCCGGATGAAGTTTGTGTCAGCCTGAAGGTATTCCAAATTTACCAAGCCGTGAAATGTGTCCTCCTTCAGCATGACCAGGAAATTGCTGTTTATGTGCAGCTTTCTTAGGGATCCCAGTGCACTGAACACGCCAGGTTCAAGCTCCTGTATGCTATTTGCACCAAGATGTAAGGTGATGGCGTTCTTGAAAGCATCCATATCCTCTGCAAGTAACTCCACTAAGTCATTTTTATACAGGTTTAAATGCAAAGGCATATCTGATGGTACCTTCATGTCTGAGATTTTGCTTATGTTTCTGTCTTCACAGTTCATGTACAAGTGTCCATCTTTCTCTTCACAGGTGCACAAAGATTTGCAAGCTCCACCGTACAATGCCTTAGGCTCAGTATCTCCAAAACTAGCAGCAGCAAAGAAGGAGCAAACAAAAATGATCCTGGCCAGCATTTTGTTTCCTTCCTTTTATCTAAAAAGACAACACAAGGGGAGAGAAGGAAAGGTAATTATTGTGTGCATTAAGCAAACTCATAAAATAACACTGAACTATGGGAATTATTGCAAGTTCACAGTGCTCAATCTAATGAAATAAACAGGCTATGATTTGGGAAAAACAAATCTGTGCCTAAATACAGATATTTACAAGTTCCTAACGTATTGCATTTCGTTATTGCATACAAGCGTTGAGTGGAATACTAGAACATTTTATACAGCAACTAACACTGTAATATTCCTAAATGAATAATTTGGTTGCGTCATTGATGGTGATGATAATAGTGATGATTATATCACATTACATACTTAGGGAAATAATTAAGTATCTCAAATCACTGGGATAATTACATTCTAATCAAGAAACAGTCTCATGTCTCACAATTTGTAGATCAAGCAACCAAACTTTTTTTTTCACAATAAAGGCAAAGCATTTGTATGCATGCATAGCCTATATTTTACCACGACATTCTGAATGATGCACAATATACTTTACATCAGTCCTCAGCAGCAGACATCCTGTGAGATTTGTCTGTGCATAATTAGAATAGTTTTCCTGACCTTGTTATCTCAAACATCTGGATGAGTGCGCTTTAAGATATGTGTCCTATAATCATCTCACTATGCAAACAATTATATCTCAGAATTAATTTGAATGAAACAGAAATGAGTTGTCCATAAACAATACACAAGTCAGTGATCTCAGTATGAACAGGTTCTTCCACATTAATGTTTATCTTCAACATTCAACAATTGCCTTTGTCTTATTTGTAGGTTTGAAACCAAGAACTGGTTCTTATTCAGAATTTAATAAAAATTGTTTTACTGGAACAGAATTACCGTTAATGTTTCATGTGCATGCATTCTTGCGCCGACTCAGCACTAAGGTATTTTCATTGCGTCTTTCACTCATCACTATTCAGCGAAAAACGCTATAGAATATTTTCTTTTGAGCGATCAAAAAATACAACTTCATCAGATGTCTTATAAGTTTTGAAAAATATTTTTTTTATAAAAAAAATGAATGAATGGAATTAATTACTGGACTGCATTTATGACTCCTAAATAAATAATAATAATAATAATAATAATAATAATAAAACACATATTTTGCAAATCTAATGATTTGGCTAAATATTTATTCCTCAAATGTCCAAAAATATGTTTTACTGAAACTGTTAGGAATCAGAATTGTTAAATTAATATGATTCATATGACTACTTTGTTGTGTCAGTTTTTATTTTGGGAGATTTCAGGATTTCAGGATAAATATCTGAGGGAGATGATGATGAAGACCATCTTACTTCTCACATTGTATCCAGTTTTGCTCAGATCATACTAAAATCTGCAATCAAAAGTAAGACATTCCTATGAACATTCTATGAAAATTATTCCAAGACCAAATGATCTGATCTGCTATTCACATTCATTTTATGTCTGTATATTCATACGCTAAATGTCAAAGATGGTTTCTTTTGTATTTTTTTGTCTTCAAAGGAACTTTATGAGACACGTCTAGGACAAAGTTGATATTTAAAGGCAAAATAAATTCCCGGAGCAACCTCTTCCTCATACAGTTCCACCGAAGGAAAATAACCACACACTATTCTTCGTTACAATGTCATTTAAAACGACATAAAACAGTTCCATGCAAATTAACTGAAACATAAAACACCCCAGCGTCCCAGAGAATCTGCGAGGAATGAATCTGAGGGAGATGATGATGAAGACCATCTTACTTCTCACATTGTATCCAGTTTTGCTCAGATCATACTAAAATCTGCAATCAAAAGTAAGACATTCCTATGAACATTCTATGAAAATTATTCCAAGACCAAATGATCTGATCTGCTATTCACATTCATTTTATGTCTGTATATTCATACGCTAAATGTCAAAGATGGTTTCTTTTGTATTTTTTTGTCTTCAAAGGAACTTTATGAGACACGTCTAGGACAAAGTTGATATTTAAAGGAAAAATAAATTCCCGGAGCAACCTCTTCCTCATACAGTTCCACCGAAGGAAAATAACCACACACTATTCTTCGTTACAATGTCATTTAAAACGACATAAAACAGTTCCATGCAAATTAACTGAAACATAAAACACCCAAGCGTCCCAGAGAATCTGCGAGGAATGAAAGGCTTCCCAGTTGTATTGACATGAAATCAAACATTGAACGGTCCGGCATGCCACATGACACCTACAGACTGCGTGCGCTGACAGCAATGAGCAAACACGGTGTGTGAAGACAACAAAGATGGTTTTTGTCATCTCTCTTGAGGATGCAGGTAGAACGGCAGTGGAAGGGGCGGGGGCATAAATAAAATTAGATTAAAAGATTACAAAAACTGCAGAGAATATGAATGCTTTGCATGTCATGCTAGATGACAGGACAAAGAAGAGAAAAAAAACACAGTCCCATTCCTATTTTTAGCAAGCAGTGTGTGGCTGACAGTGAGGAGAGAATTTGTGGTCCATTAGAAGCCACTGAAGCCTACATATTGCGCTCTCATGCATTTAAGCAGGGCCTAATATACATCTACTTAACTATCTATCTATATACACACATACGCATATAGATCTCGGCCCGTGACTTCTCATGCCTCAGGTTTATGCCTAACCTGCCTGTCTAACATCTGTCCTGATACAGCAAATGTTCCTGTCTTTCTCTTGCATGGTTACCCAAAGTGTATTGGCTATCCCATAGGAAAGACAAGTCACGAATAAGATCTTTTTGATCTCTCGGTTGTTTCTCCTGCTAGACAGTGAGGAGATTAAATGTAGAACAAATGGAGATGTTTGCTTAAGGCTTCTTCTATACTGAGAAAAAGACTGTATAATCTCAAATCCACTAGTTGTAGAACAAATCTCAATAATGGCATGCTCTGATTGCTCAAGAAAACACAGTCTGCAATTTAATTTGCTCTTTTATGTAGCAAATAAGAACAATTGACATAATTGTTGACTACAGAAGGAATATGGATGTGTAAAATGAATGTGGATACACTATAAACAAATTCAAGTTTATATTGAAATCTAAGACTTGGTATCTTGTCAAGCCTTAGCACAATCCTAATATTACTATGGTTCTTTTTCAAAGTACAAAAATCCAAAAGAGCAGGAAACCTCAGTCAAACATCTCCATTTGCTTTGCTTTTAATCTCAATGCTGTCTAGGAGAAACAACTGAGACATTAAAGAGATCTCTTTGGGGACTTATTCACAATAATTATTGTCCTTTTGTTTAATTCAATTAAATTCTGAGGTTTCTGATTTCTTGTTGGAATAACAAGATGATTATAGGACAGATCTTATGTTACACACATCCATCATGTCTAAGAGAAACACTATTTTATATTTGAACTTCATAGATGACAACTACATAGATAAATATATACATACAATTGGTGTAGAAATGTATTTTCACTTCAATTAGTACAAATAATTGAGCTATTACAAAGAAATAGCAATTAACACATTTTCTCACATAAAGAATAAAATCACATTTTCTTGTAAAACATACTCTGTTTTATTTACGACTGCGAAAAATCCTATTTCACACTGTACAAACACAGTAACTCTTTTGTTCCAACTGAAGTGACACATGCCAGAGAGAAATGGAAGACATCCAAAGATGTATAATGTATCCACCCCACATCATGCACACATATGTATGTATGTATATATATGCTAAGTGTCCAGTTCCTCTGAACATCAGACAATAATGCAGACTCCCAAAAGAAGAATCCATCGCAGCAGCACATTGGTGAATGTTTGATGACATTGTTTGATGTTATATGTCCCGTGAAACGTTCAAATAAATTAAACCAAAGAAAAATAACCCTCAAGGCTATTTTGTATGAGTCTAGTGAACTTGTTTGTGGCTGAGAGCTTCATATATCCATAACAGAGGAAATATAGTGTGCGCTTGCTTCTACTATCTTATCTTGGCATCACAATTCAGTGTCTTTTGTTTTGAGGCAATACATTTTTTGTATGGCCCCATATGTGCCGTTTACCCTGCAATGTTGAATTTCAATTGCTTCCAAGCCTACAGCAACACAAGCATCTCTCGAACCAGCTGCCAAAGACAAAGAATCTACACAACTTAACTATCAATTGCAAAGTAAAGTTCTTTGGGTCCTTTTTTTATATTTGGAGCTCATTTGCATTTTAGTAGAATCTCATGATGCTAACCTTTTAAAAAAAGGAAATTATATTTGCTCCAGTCCCCAGAGAAGTATTGTTTGTCGACAGCGGGCATTGTCTTGCTTGAGCAGGTTGAGAGAATGGCGGCTGTCTCGGACACATTTCTAAGGGTTGGTCATTCATTATGTATCTGATCAGTAATGAAACACCACCAGAACAAGGTTGACCAATGAAGCATAGCAATCAATGGCTGTGGTCCTGTCACACAGGAGCAAATAAACTGCTTAAACAACCACAAGCCATTTGCATAATCTGCTTACCATATGCTATTTAAAGGACAGGTACAACTTTAATTTTCCTAGACTTTTGCAAGTATTGTCTTATCTTTCATGTCTTCTGTGAAGCTGGTGTCAAACCAATTCAGCCTGCAGAGTATGAACATGACAAATGTGACATTTTTACAAGACAATGCAGTTAGGGTTGCAACCTCATTCCAGGTAGAATAATTTAGGTCTAGTGAGCTTCCATTATACAAGCGTGTTAAAAATCAGGACACTCAGGTGCCAGACCATTTAATATCCACACCCAACGTAATGACATAAGAACTAATTTGGGGTTTTCATTGTCCTTAAAGGGTGTATTAAATAATGTATCATTTTGATCCAAACAACTGGAACATTTGATCTTGGGATCAAAGTTTATATGCATACAATTTATTTGGCTCTGTTTCAAAACCTACTGAGTGGTCTTGTTGTCTATTACCTGAAATAGACACAGCACTGAAAATAAATAAATGAATATATATATATATATTTCAATCATGAC